ATTGAGCCAAACACAGAAGGCTTACGCACGAAGATATAGCAGCGGAAATGCTTTGTGGAACGGGGAGCAAACTAGACTCCGACACTTTAGTTGATTACATGGACTGTTTTGGAAATGTTTGTGCGGAATATTTCTTAAAGAATCCTTTAAAAATCGGGAGCTTTGGTAAAGTCGTGGAGATTGACGAGACATACCTTACCAGGAAAAAGTACAACAGAGGTAGGGTCATAGAGAAGCAGTAGTCTTTTGGGAGCAGTGAGCGAGGGACCAATAAGTGCTTCGTTGTTCCAGTGGAGCGACAAGATGCTGCTACCCTTCTGCCACTGATCAGGCAATATGTTGTTCCAGGGACAAATATAGTGTCTTATCAGTGGGCTACATACAGTACCATCGAGAACATGTCAGAGAGATACCAGCATGAGACCGTCATCCAGTCTCCACTTTATTAATCCCGGAACCGGTGCTTACACAAACAGCATTGATTCTCTATGGCAGAAATGGTATGGGACGGGAAGGGCGCTATTGAATTTGTATATGGACAAATTCGTATGGAAAAAACTGTATGAGAGCAATGCGCTGTACCACCTCTCGGCTCAAATAACGGAACGCTATTCACCGCCCCCAGGTTCCATTTGAAAGTACGAGCTTATCTATCGGCTCTTGATCGGTCTGTCTTGTGACCGTCCAATTTTTAGAAAGTCCCTCATATGAAGGGCGGTTATGCAGGTTTTCTTCCAGTTTTTCCGACCTGAGAGAGAAGCGAATTACGAGTATAAATGTAACATCAGTGTAAACGCTCAGATACGCACAAAACTCTCTTCTTTATTCCTGACGAGAACGAACCACCAACCTCCACCGGATGTGCTGCATCTCCTACCACTGCACCTCACATCACTAAGTTCAGTTACTGACTCCCCCAACTGTTCTACGCTCCATCGCCTCGTTCGCCTCATACTGCTGTTCCACTTAATAAGCTAATGCTACAAAAGGTCAAACCCGTCTATAATGTCTCAAAATTGTTTATAAATCTGCAGGTGCACAGTGGGCATTTCCGGCATTATAAGGGGAATTATTAACCCTTAGCTGAGGTTAACACGGTTGACGTGTTTCCTTGGCTGCTTGAAGCAGCGACGACAGCGAAGTCGCTCCAGCCGCAGCTTGCCAGGAAAAAGGGCCTCTTTCGAGGCCTTTTTTCAAACATATATATAAGGTCCTTAATCGACAAGAGCTCCAAAAATTTATTTTTTTTCGTTGCTTTTTTAATTCTGTAAATTTGGAAACAATAACTACCAATAGCACAATTTCAAAGAATATTTTATATTATCTTTCAAAAGTATGCAGCTTAACCACGAATAGTCTTATAGGCAAAAAGCCTATACCATGTATCTACACAAAATCTCAATACATTCTTTTATTTGGGAATACGTCGTTTTTTGCATATGCAAGTGGAATATTAGAAAACTGTATTTACGAACAGTATAGAATGACATTATGACTATCATACCGTTAAACATCATTGGCAGCCTGACCCGACCATAAACTCTGTGAGCATTGTAGAAAAGACCATCCATACCAGTTGGAATGCCGAGAAAATATAAGCCTCCTTCTTTGAGAATACACCACATTTTCTGCATTTCACGAATGTCACCAACCGGATCTGCAGTTTCATTTTACTAACACATTAACTGTTTACTTAAAATGGTGAACTTGTGAACTTCTTTGCAAATTATGATATTTTTCGCCTAAGGGGTCGCCATAACGACCTAATTCACTGTGCTCTACGCTTGAGAAAGATACAGCGAAATCAAACCTTTCTGCATACCTGGAATAAAAGAAACAGTAATAAAAGCCTATGCAATTCAGTGTTTTTTTAAACGCTTTATTTATGCTGTAATAACTCTGTTTGAGCTACAAAAAGTTCTGATTTAGTTTTGCACAAAAAATACACAAATTAGACCTTCCTTTAGAAGCAAAAGCAATTCGTCAACAAATTGCTTAACCTACAGATCCTATTCAAGTCAAGCGAAGCTGTCGTTTTCCAGTGATGACCACTCGAGTTAAAAGTTTCAATTTTTTTAAATTAAAAACAGTAAACAGTACAGTATAAAAAAGTGCCTCTGAAAAAATAAAGACAGTTTCTGAAAAAAAAAATCTAGGTACAACTATATGTTGAGAATAGGCACATTGAAGCAAAATAAATTCAATTAGCAACAATGTAAAAATGCAGAAAAACAAAATGTATTTTTTGCTAAATTTATTGTGGAAAAAAAATACAGACAAAAGCTCCAAAAGGGAAAGTTTGCGACCTAACTCAACAGATTTTTAAAAATAGTTACCTGATACAATATACCTGCGATGTATTATGTTTTCTAATCAGAATATCTTAATTTTTACAAAAAACTTTCAAAATTCTTTACTATAGCCATCATTTTATCAATTGTTTAATTGCTTTATTAATATGTCAACGCTTTACGGTATACGGCAAATAATTCAGATGTAAAATGATCCAAACAAAAGTCTCATTTTCTTCTTGGCATAAAATATTTTAAACTTGTAATTTAATTTCGCACACAGTTTAGAAAAGTCAAAAAAAAAGATAGACAAAATGAGCAGATAACAGATAGATCGATTCTCTTTTAAATTTTGATTACTGTTTTGTCAAACTAGATTTTTTTTACTTCTTTTTTAAAGTAACTCATATCTTTTAATCGCTTATCAATTTTTTACTAATAAGGTCGAAAGTTCATTGAAGTTCAATGCCTTCAACAACGCATAGTTTCAATAGTTTCATTTCTCGCAACAGAGTTGAAAGTGTAAGTTTAACTTATTTACTTGAATTTAGCACTTGTGCTGCATCAGAGAAATGCTGTTTTAAAATAACTTTTGAAGATTTTTAACGATGCAAATGCTTCTGTAAACTGTAGTTTTGCTCTTAATTTTTCAGTTTAAAATAACTTTCTCAGAACGTTTTTTGTAACTGGAAATCAGTTTGGTTCTTACCAACTGCAAAAATTTTTTAAACAAGAGATTTCTGTTCCGATAACCTTCCTGAATGTGAAGAACCTTTTACTTTATAATGTCGCTTTGTATAACCCGTTAGCTATTAATGTTTTCCATTTTTTTAACGTCAAGCAAAAAACTTTTTTCTTTCAGATGTGATACATTTGAAATATCCACCAACATTCTGGTATAAAAACTTACCTTTGTTTTTTTTCTCAGTCAAACTGAAAAGTATATGCACGTTTAGTTGCCAGCTAAAGTCAGAGGCCTTTACAATCGATTCAAGAAACTTAGAAATAGCAGCTTTCAATCAGTAGTCCCTAAGTGTCATACGCTAGCATATGACCAAACTACTTCGTATCTGCAGAATGTTTACATCGCGGTTATTTGGCAAGAATCGCTGTGAAAACGTTAGTGTACGAAGTGCACACCGCAAGTTTGATAAACAAGAAATGAGATCATTCATAATAAAAAAAAATTAGTTGTTACGGGTATATAAACAATGGCCTTAAAAAAAACAGATGAAAAAATTTAGACTCAAGCCAAATTTCACTTTATCGTAAATGAAATCTAAGATTACACATTTATAAAACTTAGAATATTTAGGCAAAAATAGAATAAAATTGATAAGAAAAAAGTGTAGTTCTAATAATTCCAATAAGAATAACGAAAATTCTAATAACAATCTAACCAGAAGTTTGAGATCTCTCGACAAAAAGTTTAAAGAAGTGCACAACGCTCTGAGCAACACCAACAAATAATGAGAGAGAATTTTTGCAGACTTTTCTTCGAAAAATGTTACATTTTTTATGGCAACACAGAAACTTTCTATTTTTTCATAACATACTAAAAGCGCTAACTTCAAGGCCACTTCGTGCATTTTTTGGTCTGTTCACCAAAGAGGCAAAGTAATAGGTAACGTCAGCATGTCTAATCACGCAGAAAACTGCCGATCCCACGTCACATCCTCTAAATCTTTGTGTTGCTGACTTTCATTCGATAAAAACAAAATTAAGTTTTACTTTATTAACTTCAACAGGTTTAATACAAACAAAAAAAAAATACAAAACTGTGTAGATTTTTTTTATATTTACTATCCGTTTAAGTAAAATTTTTTTCTATAAACACTATTCAACATAATCTCCACTTTGTTTCGCTTTGGTTACTTTTTTCATTACCACTGGTTGAGTACCAAGCAAAAATTGGTTTTTCGGTTTTCCTCACTTAAAGCAAGCTGAATGATTTTTGTTGAATAAAGGCACAACTAACGTTTTCAAATCTCATACTTCCTCTCTTCTCTGTACCAAGAATAAACAGGTCAGTCTTATGTAAACAACTTTTTAAAACAAATTTTAAACTTTAATAAAATTTTTTCGTTCATATACTGATGTAGAAAAACAATAAGTTTAAGTACGCCCATTGCGTAAGATTACTTAAAACATCTTTTTCTTACATAGTATTTTATTAAAATAAATAGCACTTAGTCATCAGCAATTTAACTAACATATGGCTAAAAAGAAAAAGGTAAGAGTCAACCTAGAGAAACTTCTGCCCTACCGAACACTGAAGAGGTACATACAACAGAAGTTTTTACGAGCATCAGAAAATTTAATTGAAAAGTGCGAGGTGAGATAACGGCACCAAAAAAAGACTGCTTTTTCTGCTGTTGTCATGCAATACTTTTGTAATAACGACTCCGTCCTCCTTGTTTGCATCTTCCATTCTTTAGCTTTTAGTTATGTTTTGTACGTTCTAGAGCAATTAGCAAATTAATTTTGAAAAAGCTTGACTTGCTATCTCGCTTGAGCGAAAAGTGTTTCAGCAATTTTCCTACAGTTTTTTACTTCTCAATTTTTGCATTAGAGGAAGCATTCCACCTTGTCAAATAATGTAGAAAAAATTTTAAAAAATTACATTGAGGAAAAAAAAACTGGAGTATTACCACTTCAAAGTAACTTTGTTTTCTTCAGAACAAATACGTGCTGTGCCGTATTTCTTTGTTCAAAATACGATGCAGTCAAATTAACAGGGTTTGCATTTTCTCCATAAAATACGTTCAGTAGGTCAAACCCTTAAAAAAGTTGTTCTGAAATTGAATAATTAAACATTAAAAACGTGACTACATTTCAAAAGTAAATTTACACCTTATGACACATGTAAAAGCTTCACGCAAATAGTAAATGTTCATTTTCGTACATAAAAAAAATTTCATCATTATTTCTCATAGTGAATCAAGAGCTTCTAAAACATTTTAAAACACCAATCATTGTTGCAGATATCCCTAGCCTTTAGAAAAAACGAAATACAGCAAAGCTCAATTTTTCTGATAAAAAAATTCCTTTTGCGCCTCTTTTTTTGATTTTGTAAGTTTAAAAACAGCAATTACTCGTAGCAAAATTTTTAAAAAAGATTTTGCGTTATCTTACAAAAGCGGGCAGTATAACAAGGAATAGCCTCACGAGCAAAAAGCCTGTACCATGTACTCAAAAAAAATCCCAGCACATTCTCTTACTTATATATACTTCGTTTTATGCATATGCGATTGAAACGTTAAAATGTTACATTTACGACCAGCTTTGAATAACACGAACAAAATCATACCGTTGAACATCATTGGCAGCCTGATCCGACCATAAACTCTGTGAGCATTGTAGAAGAGACCATCCATACCAGTTGGGACGCCGAGAAAAAATAACCCACCTTCCTTGAGAATACACCACATTTTCTGCATTTCACGAATGTCAC